TCTTACTATATTGGTCACATTTTAAAAATTTATCAAACCATTGTTTTTGTTCATTTAAACAGCACAATAAAATTTGACTTTAAATAAAGTGTACTTTTCAGACCATACAATATGAATTTGAGTAAAAACACTGTTAATTCAGACTTTCAATAATTTAGGCTATCCAGACTTTTCCCCCAATTAGTCCAAATTAGTGAGATTATATTGTATACAAAAGAAAAAATGAAACAGCAATATATTTGATATAATGCTTGTAGTCAATAGAACAATGAACTGTGACCAATTGTTAATCAAGTTATAACCATATTAACTATTGATATGACATCAAGATGGCAAAATTTGGCATTTTAAACCAACATCATAAAATTTATAAACAAATGATCTGTAAAACACAGTACTGAATATTTTTGTTATTCTTATCTTGGAAATGACATCAAAATTAACCAAATAAATTTTCCCTACCCGATGTTATACATTTTAAAAGAAAAAATTTATTTGAATCTTCTTATCTTCATATATTAATTTTATTATAACAACTTTCCATAGAAATCATAGAAATATTTTATTTAATTTAAAATAGACAATTCAACTCATTAAAACAAAATTTTTAAAATGTTAAATTTATTTGAACAAATTACTCATATAATGTATAATACTTAATTTCATTATTTTATCACACATTGTATGACTGCATATTCACCTGAAATCATCCAATCACTTTGAAAGTTTTGAAGTTTCTCTGCTTGTCCTGAAGCCAATCCAGTTACAACATCAGCTTTCAATGTTCTTAAGGCACATAATGTTGATGGTAAAAAATTATTTAAAGCAATGTGAAAGGGTGTGGTGGTAGGCCACTTTCTATCTCCAACCAATTTTCTATAATTTAAGTCTCCTTTAAATAAAATAATATCAGCATCACTTAACTTTTGATATAAAGCTTTATCTACAATTTTCATTTCACTAAAATCATAAGGTAACGTCCAGAACTGTTCTTTTTCAATCTTCCATTCTCCACACTTTAATCTTTTATTGTATCTATCTACAAGAGTACAAACTTTCTCATTTTGTACTTGTCCCAATTCATTCAATGTCCAGTATATATCTTTTTCCATTGTATCAGACACATACCAAGGTATCATTTTAACATATATTCTTGCTTTGTCAATAAGTTTTGTAGCTGTAAGGAATTCTAACAAACATAAATCACAAATTAATTCAAAGCCAACATTGTCTAAAATTATATCAAGACAAATATTTGAATTTTGAGCAGTTTTATTTATATATTCCCATAGTTTGTCAATATCATTTACTAAAATATTCTTGTTAAGTTCCTCCAACTGCTTAATGAGACAATCTTTCTGCACATTTTCTTTACCAGCCGAAATGGATAAATCACACCTATTTGACCATAATGATAGCTATAAAAGAATTTATATATTATTTTATTAAAATAATTTTTAAAATCATTAATAGTTAATTTAAATTATGCTTATAACTAAATTTTATCATTTTTATGAAAAATTTCTAAGAAAAACTTATAGTAAAAGTAATCTATAAAATATAAAACTTTATTAATATTTTATAATTAATGTCACTCACACCATTTTATAACAAAACAACTTTAATATATCTTGACCTATATCAGAAAATAAACAACTGCTTACAATGTGGGAGTTACATAATTCAAATATAAAGGTGGTCAAATGTCTATATGTCAAAACATATTCTCCAAAATATAAACTATATCTTATTATTTTTTGATTTAGATTACTTTTAGTTGTAAACTGATGTCCCTGAGAGTAACAAGTTGTTACAAAAGGTTCTTGTTCTTATCTTTTAACAATACTAATTGGTTAAATTATAAATGGAGAAAGGTGTTTTTTGAGTTTCTTAATGAGAACATGATCATCAGATTGTATAGAAGTCACTGATTTTAAATTACAAAGTTGGTCAACAAGTTACATATATTTTTTGTTTATATTTCAATTAAATTTTGCTATCCAAAAAGCATTAATTTTTCAATCAAAACTTATTTCTGTTGAAAATTTCTGAATTGAGTTATTTTGTAAGCAAACAGAAATTGTATTGTATTGTTGCTTTCCAATTACTCTTCTCTACAGTAGCAAAAACTATGCAAATTAATCCTGTTCTGTTTTTATAATAATCTTGTTATAGATTTTATCAATATTCTATTTTCAAGATAAACACTAATAGTAGTTCGAGTCCCGCTCCGGGCCGATTTTTTCTCCCAGCGGTTCCAAATTATTTAAATTAATTAATATATTTATAATTATTAATTTTAATAAGAGATGGCGCCTAACGCTTACCTCTAGTGCCAAATTAATTACGTAATTTATTTAGAATTTAGCATTAAAATAGCCCGATTAATTTACGGCATTCGGTTGGTGTCTTACTATATTGGATATCGGGTTTGGAGATGTTTATTTATATATTATTATACAAATTAATATAAAAATAACTTAAAATTAAAGTAAAATTTTTTTTATTTTTGGTCACATGTTCCTCTATCCCTATTTACTCTGTTAAAATAGTCTCGTTTAACGCTGTTTCACTTAGCGCTTTGTCATCTAGGAACACATCTCCCACATTAAGCAAGGTCTTACTGTATTTACTCGACTGCCTCCAAAAAAAATCTGTGCCCGAGAGCAATTGGTTACATCATTCATTTCCTTTACACAGATTTAAGCTTAAATGATCAATAATCTGGAACCCTTCTGTGCAAGGAATGGCTGATAAGCAAATCTACTGTTCTATGATATCGGATTTGAAAATTGCAATGACTACTAAAGAACATCATTTGTTGTAACAGAAATCAGACATTAAGTTATGATTGTATATTATTATTTTAAAACAGTATTAGAATAAAAAATCTTCTGAAAGTCAAAATTTACCTGTTGGATCTCCTGTTTGAACCATAAAACCTTTCAGATTTCTATGAAATAAGCAACCATTGTAATAATCACTAGCACACAATGCAAGAAAATTCTGAAATAAAATATATTCAAATTAAACTAATATTTTATATTGAGTTTAAATTTATAAAAGCTTACCTCACAAGCTTTAGGACATTGCTCACAGAAAAGTTCAATTTTAATATTACCAACATCAGTATGAAGAGTAACTGACTGTAAAATTATTTTAAATATTTGATAAAAAGATAATTAGTGTTAGGATAAAAATATTGTGTTAATCATTATATAATAATAATAAAATTTACTGTATGCAAAATTTTTTTAATATTAACATAGTATTAACACAACTCTTAGTTTCTAAATTAATCTTCAATCTGGACTTCTTTTAAGAAGTTAATTAAAAATTTGACCACTTGGTAACTTAAGAACACAATATTAATTATACAGGCTCTTCCAAAAACAATGCTACTATTTTAAATTATAACTATGTTAATTATCAACGTATGTAATGAGAAGTATGCAATGTATATCAATCTACAGAGTAAATGTCTGAGTTTCAACTACCATCTGCATACGAACATCTTTTTGTCTGCTGCCTCTAGGAAGCTTTAAAAACAAAAATGACGACTCTATAATAAAGTGTTTCGTGTCCTGCAGTTCTCAAAGTCAGAATCAATTTTGGTGGATCACTTTGAAATTGTCATTTGCAAACAACTTCAAAATGATCCACAATATAAGGCAAACATTCTTGTTGCACAATGATGACCAATTCTGAGTTTGTGGACTGCAGGACACAGAATGCCTTCTCTGTTGCAGTGCTACCATTATTATTTACAGCACTTCCTAGAGATGATAGACAAAAAGACATTTGAATGCAGATGTTAAATGAAACTTGAACAGTTACTCTATCAATTGGTGAACAATGTATACTTCTCAGGTAATAATTAACATAATTACAGAAATTTAAAATGGTAGAATTGTTTTTGTAATAATCTGTAATTTAATATTTACAAAATGCCTGTCTTCAATAAATTTTATGCACTTGACATGTAAAAATTTTAAATGCAAAGTTTCTTATATAATGTTATATAACAGGGATGGCCAACACGTAGACCGCGGCCACAAATGTTTTGAAAGTAGTCCATGAAGCTAAAGTTGAACAATTTGCTTTCACTTAAATTAATGTTTAAAAATCTTAATTCGATAATTTATTCTTACAATAATAGACTGTCTGTGCGACGTACCCATACTGTTTTTATCTATCCCGATGAACAATGCAAATGAATGTTAACGCATGCGCATATAAAAATCCTAAAATTGTTTGCCCGTGTTCATAGTCGCCCGCAGACTATATTTTACCAAAAAAGTAGCCCCTAAGGGATAAAAGTTTGGCACACCTGATATATACAAGATTACTATAATTATGCAAAATTACTGCAATTATATGCAAAATACATACAAAATTGCTGAAATTATAATATGTAAAGTAAATAATCTTTGAAATATTTATTCAAAGATTGGATTTCACTATAAATCAGAATTTATATTGGAATTTTAATCTTCTGTGATTCTGTATGACGCCTTAGAAAATTTTTTTAAGTATGTTTAATTTCGAGAGCTATTTTTAATTCCGGTCAATATTGATGTCTTTGGCCAATCTAGGTTATGTATTATATATTTATTTTATTGAGTACATTTTTAGTGTAAAGCAGGGACGTTTAACTGTCGTAGCATCCATTACATTGAAAACATCGCGACTTAATTGAGGTTACCCTCGCAATAACAACTGATTGCCATTACGCAGGTGTGCAAGTAAAAAACTGCATAGGAGTTTTATACATTTTCTCACAGATTTCAACTTGGTAAAAACGAAAAAAATACCAAAAAAATTCCATTTCCTCAATTTCTTTTGTTACACTCAAGTTTTTGTTTGTATTTAGCGTAAAATTCTTAGTTAAGTTAAAATTTAGTATACTTTTCTTTTATTAAAAAATGGCTTTAAAACAAAGACTTTTCACATTAATTCTATCAATTATAGCTGGACTTGTTAATAAATAAATAAAAATGGTTGAAGAGAGTAGTGGTAGGTGGAGGTGGGTTAAGTAGTTTTAGCGTTAGGAGGAATGTCGCATGATCGTATAGAAACAGGTTAAAAGTTGATAGTGAGTAATATTATTGGTGAGGTTGAGCATGTTTCGACATGTTATCTGGGATACTAGGAATAAATATAAATAACCTGCTGTTGGGTTAGATCATGTTTCAACAAGCTAAATAAGTTCAGTATCTCACTGACCATCTAATGCCACACTCAGTTTATATCCAGCATTCGAACACTACGGTGCTTGTATTTTTATTTCTGGAATATCGCTCGCAGAGGTTGTGTAATTTCTCCCATCTTTTGTTATGTTTGTGGTGAATACACAGAAACATAAGTGAGTTTGTGAAGAATGTTTAATTCGCGTATTTCAAATTGAAACTTGGAGATCGAGACAAAGCAGATTTTTGGAAACAATGGAAGAAAAGCAAAAAGAAGCATGGGAATCTTTCAAGAGTGTAGTGCATAAATTTTTGGTGAATACTAGGACTCTGACTACAAACCATTGTACAACGCATGCTGGCTGTAGCGTATGATGCTCAAGGATGCAAGATTAACTTAAAAGTTCATTTCTTACACTCCCATATTGACTATTTTCCCCAATACTTGAAAGTCTACAATGAAGAACAGGGTGAAAGATTTCACCAGGATGTCCGTGATATCGAGAGACGTTACCAAGGAAAATGAGATGTCGATATGTTAGCTGACTACTGTTGGATGCTCAACCGAGAAACCAGAGAAGGAAATCGGAAATGAGTTTGGAGAAGCATCAAAAAGAAAAAGAAAAGATTTCATAAGAAAAAAGAGTAGACCTAAAATTGTGTATAAATATCAGAAACAATTTGTTGATTAGTTGTAAGATAATATAATATATTTAGTTCATTGTAATAAATAAGTTTCAATCAAAAATTGGTTTTTATGCTGCAAAAAACCCTTATGTGATGGGATATAACGGAAATTATTTTTAGAATCTGCGATCTTTAAAACATATAATTCAGCAAACATATTCCATGCAGTTGGAATTTATTTTTTTTTTTTTGCAGACCTGTGTTACCATTTTGTTCTCGAAAAGAAATAATATTTACAGTTCGTGTATTGAGGTAGTCGTTTCTTTCTTAGTTGATTACAAATTACAAAAACTGAATTTAAAGTATGTTTACGAAAAACTCAGTCTGTTTCTCTAATAAACAAGAAAAATTGACATAACCACTCTTTTTTTCACGCGTTTCCAAATCAAAATCGATGTTTTTCCTAAATTTCAGGTTTATTTTCTGATTGTCATCCAACATTTCCTGAAGTGTACAGTATTTAGGTAATGTCTTGGTTACTTTTACATTGTAAATATATACGTTCTATAGTGTTTCCGATGCCGACCATCCGTATTTCATCACCAATTGCTTAGCCCTGACTCCAATAAACCTCTACTTTTAGGCTAATGTCCGAATTTAGAATTTTAAATATTCTTAATAGCCACAAGTCTCTCATAATTGCCACTGTACGAACACAATCACATTAACAGTTTTTAACTGTTTATTAAGAAGTAAAACTGGTATCTGTCATGTGGCTGTAGAAAGGATATTCATTGGATAGTTTCATATCACTGAAGAAAAATATATTAATGCAAAACGTTTTAATGAATTATTCAATTGTTAAACCAATATCGTTATTTTACATTATTAATCGCTTCTGCGATTGTTATATTTAACTATGGAAAATGTTCCCGAAGAGTTTGTTAAAATCCAGTTTATAGATTGTAAAGTCTCAGTACCTAAATCACTTTTGCAGACGAGCTGTGAGCATTTGAACGAATTAATAGTTTCTTGCTCTTCGTCCTCGTCATCGTTGCAATTACAATGCATGCTGCTCTCTTTTCAACAGTTTATAAAGTAAGTTCTGCAAAGTGAATAAAAAAAATGTAAATACAGTATTAATGTTTGCAATTTTTACAGCTATTTGAAAACACATCAGCTTCATTTGACATCTACGGGAACTAGTCTGGAAATATATAAACTTGGGAAAGATTTCAAAATAGAAGATATCCTGCCAATCTGCAGAAATTACATTTTACAACAAATCAAAAATGAAAATGCGTGTTTTATCTACGAATTTGCATGCGAAAACGGCGATGAAATCATCCAATTTCGATGCTGGCGACGTTTTGACGTCTTTTGTGACGAAATCCTCGATTCAGAAAGTTTTATTCTTTGCAAAGAAATAACAATTTTACGATTCGTTTCACGGCCAATATATGCAATTCTTCGAGAAGAAAAGCTGTTCTTTGCTTTATTAAGATGGGCAGAAAGAAGGGAATTAGAAGAACAGAGTGTCAATAGTTCCGCACAATGTACAGAAGACACCAGATCACAGCGAATTCGTGCTCGTATGGAACCTTTTCTACGCATGATACGTTTCCTGAGCGTGGATATAAATATATTAGAAAGTTCCGTATTTAAAGAAAATATTTTAACAGAAGAGGAAATGACGGCAATCCATTTACGATCTGTTTGTCCAGAATTTGAGCTTCCTCCAACGATTTGCAAAAATCCAAACCCTCGGAGGAATACGTATTACGATTCGCTGATTCATTATGTCAATAAACGCTTCGTTCACGCAGAAAAACGAATTAAATTTACTAAATCGCAAACATTTCAATGCGAATTTTATGCAGAGGAAGACAGTTTTCTGATTAATTTTGTCCTTCCAATAACTTACGAAATGCCACATCCGATTTCTGTTGTAATGGATGTCATTTTTTCAGGCAGAGAAGCAAACATAATAAATGAGACCTCAAAGTGCTATCAAACTGGAAACATTGGATTGGAAAATCCAATTTTTATACCTAAGCAGTCATCCGTTATTATATTTGTCAAAATTCGAACTACGGAGCTGTCTAATTCCGAAATTTTTGTTAAGTCCGAATTTTATTACGTCACCGATACAGAATGGAGCGAATTTGAATCATCGAATGCCAAAGGCCAAGAAAATCCGTTTAAAATTCATTATTTGTCTTGTTATATTTTTGAAAAATAATCTTAATTATATTTCATATCCAAATCAATTTTCTGGAATTAAAATTACAGTATTTACTGTTTTAATTAGATTACGAATAAATAAATTTGACGTTTACAAAAAATGATTTTTACGTTTTAAGTAATGAAAATGAATTGAGTTGCGACTTTAATGAAACTCGTTTGATAGATGTAATGATTTACTTCAATTCTTATAAATCTTTACGCCAGACCGTTGTAAAACAATTTACCAGTTGCTTGATGAAAAACTCCTATTCGACAGTGTCTAAAGTGATGTTTAGTAGCAATTTTATTGTAAATTGTAAGTAGTTATGTAATATGTAGGCAATTATCTGGGACTTCTAGGGTTGGAGCACAGATTTACGCGTTAATTATTGACGCATAACCTCTACGTAAAATAAGTGAATAATTTAATTATTTTATTTCTCTGCCGTATTATGATATAAGCATAAATGTCATTTTCATGGACAAAACGAAAACTAACTGCGAAGAGAGACACTTCTGTAATGCTTGTTACAATAATACATATTTGCGCCATTATCATGTATTAACTTACTACAGTCGAATTTTTGATATGTTTACAATAGAAGAACTGCAATCTTTAAAGAATTCTCACAATTATAAGCTTTATTCAAATTGCGTTTTACATAAACATTTATTTANTGATTTGTTGTAAAATGTAATTTCTGCAGATTGGCAGGATATCTTCTATTTTGAAATCTTTCCCAAGTTTATATATTTCCAGACTAGTTCCCGTAGATGTCAAATGAAGCTGATGTGTTTTCAAATAGCTGTAAAAATTGCAAACATTAATACTGTATTTGCATTGTTTTTTATTTACATTGCAGAACTTACTTTATAAACTCTTGAAAAGAGAGCATCGTGCATTGTAAGTGTAACGGTGACGAGGACAAAGAGTAAGAAGCTATTAATTCGTTCAAATGCTCACAGCGTGTCTCCAAGAATGATTTACTTACTGAGACTCTATAATCTATAAACTGGATTTTAACAAACTCTTCGGAAACATTTTCCATAGTTAAATATAACAATCGCAGAAGCGATTAATAATGTAAAATAACAATATTGGTTTAACAATTTAATAATTCATTAATTAATTAAACCGTTGTAAAAATTAGAACTTTGTAAATTGATTTTACTAAAAATTAAAAGAAGTGTTCTTAAAGAAAACAAATATAGTTTAAAGTTTAGTAAAAAGAAAATATTATTTATGTAAATTTTTGTGTAAGTAATATACATACTGTATGAAAAAATTGTGTTTTATATATATATATACAGTAGATCCCCCTATAAGACGGTAGATACGTTCCGTTTTTTATGAATCAATTTTGTAGGAATCACAGCCAATCACAGCCCGACACGTGTGAAGTTTACGGACTACGGCTGTTTGAAAGGTTTTCTTCCATAAAATTAATCGATTCTAGACTAATCCGACTCAATATTTCCAAAACACATATATTTTTTTTTGGAAATAATCCGTATAAACTACGCTATAAACAAAAAATTGTAGGATTACTTACCGAGTGTGCACCATTCGACATCGCCGTTGCTCAAGCTTGTTTTCGTCGCGGAACAGCTCAGCAAAC